TTGGAGTCGATTAGTTTTGATTCGATGAGTTTAAAGAAATTATATTTTATAATAAGGATTTCAAACATTTCATATGAAAACAAATCTTTTTAAACTAAAAATTAAAAATTAAGATTATGTTTTACTAATCTATCTTTCATTCTCTCCCTCTCTCTCTTTTTCCCTTGCAATATCCTTTTCTAACAACGGATGAGTTTTTAAACCGTACTTGGTTGTCTAAGTATGGTTTCTACTTTCACTGTTGAATTTCATAAAATGATGCAGAGCAAGCACCCATGGATGGCATATGCGTATGCCAGTATCACAATTGGTATTTCATTTGTTTTGGGAACTCGAATATATTATGTACCTTCTTGGGCTAAGGGATAATACTAAAGAGAAGTTGAGGGTATCTGTAGCTGCCGCCAGCCCTCATCAAAAAAATTAAAAATGTATGTACTAGTGAGAGTTTCAACTTCCATTTCCCACATAATAGACCAGGTTTGCAATCATTTTGTTATTGGGTTTCCATTTTACTGGGAAGAATTAATGTTGGCATGTCTTTTGATGAAGAACCAACCAACTTCGATTTTTCAAAAGAGATTTCTAGTTCTTATGGAAATAAAACTTCCTCACCTGATAGCTAGAAGAGCTTCCTACATGTGGCCTTAGATGATCTTCCGGTTACAATAATACGCGATCTTTTCGTGAGTTCCCCTGGATACTGTGGAGGTTGTATACTGAGAAAAATATTTTAGCAGATATTATTATGACCATATAGTTGAATTAGTTTGACCATATAGTTGAGTTAGTTGAGTTAGTTTGGGGTTAGTTTGCCATCTGTATTCTTTTTAACTCTTTCCCGCCCTTTTTCTTTTCTTTCCCTATTTATACCGACTTTACTCTTCTTCAAGGTGGGATGAATAATATCTTTGATTCAATTCTTCAATTGTAATATGGTATCAGAGCGATTTGAGGAAAAATGAACTGCATGATTTGATTCTTTCGAATTTTCATCTTCAATTCTCTCGATTCATCTCATCTTTCCTAGATTCCAAAGAATCGCCATTCCTAATTTCGATTTCTCTTCCATTCTGTGATTTTTTTTTTTTTTGAATTCTCTCCATTTCAGCTAGAATTCACTTTTGATTTCTCAATCATATCATAATGGAGCACATCACTCATGAAGGAGGATCTGATTCTAGGTTTATCTCTACCAAATCCATCATTGATGAACCTTCAAGCCCATACTTCTTACATCATTCTGATGGTCCCGGGTTGGTGCTTGTAACTCAACAGCTTACAGGAGAGAACTATGGCTCCTGGAATCGAGTAATGACCATCGACTTGTCTGTCAAGAACAAGCTTGGTTTCGTTGATGGTTCTATGAAGAAACCGGAGAATAATGACGGTGATCTCATTAATTCGTGGATTAGAAACAACAACATGGTGATATCTTGGATCCTTAACTCGGTGTCGAAGGACATTTCTGCCAGCGTGATTTATGCTTCTTCTGCCTATGAGATCTGGTATGATTTAAAAGAACGTTTTCAACAAAATAATGGTCCGAGAATATTTC